CACCTTTCTTTGAGCCACCAGCCTTCACCCAAGTTTTACACGAATGTAGTGAAGCAGACAATGTGGCAACTCAAAATTGTGATGGTTTGAGATAATTATGACGGTAAAAGAAAAAGCAACACAAGGTTCCTTACCCTCGTTTTTTCACATGGGTTCAGATGAGGCTTCAACGGACACGCCTAAGAGCTGGACTTTTTGATGACGTCTTCGGGTGACGTCATGTCGTGTGTGACGTTTCGTGAGCAGGTAAGGAAAAGTCACCACCGCTGGCGAACATTGGTGCGGTAAATGGCAAGCACAAATGCTGCGCAGAAAAGACAAATGTGTAACTTCACAACAACAGGACTTCGTTCGGACGACAATGTCAGGGTGAATCAAGAAGTTCTTCATGCGATTGTTAGTTATCTGTCGTGCTATTTTAGTATGATTGTTATTAGCAGTTGTTTTGTGAAATGTATTATCAAAATCAATGTTTATTGAACGCAGATTCAGTTTATTTTCAGATGTACCTAGGTACCCTTACACTTCACTCATCTCAAGCTGTTCAAACACCCTTTTTCTTTTGTCTATTATACAATGAGCCAAAGGCTATTACTTGCTTATCTTTTTATAATTTATACTGTGTTTTCTCTGCATTATTAACATATTCATCATATATACAATATAAGGGCCACATGCTTTTTACAGGGAGACATGTCAGACAGCCCAGTAGGATGAGACTTCGTCAAGCGTCATTTTTAGCAACGCTTTTCTTGCTTAAAATCCAGTCTGCGAAACATGGCAGGGCTTACACTTTGGCTTACCCTTGACTCCCAGCTGTTGTGTCTTTGCTATGCGATGTTAAACATATAAAACATCTTACTATTCATGTATGCGCCATGACTCATGTAATCTTTTCACAGCCAAGACGCTCCTAAGGTACTGGGAATGTGGGGAGTGCAGCAGCATCAGTGCAGCACCGATGGTGGGATGCGACGGCTGCGATAAATGGTACCACTTCCGTTGTGCGGGACTGACTAAGGAGCCAGGTAAGCGCAAATATTTTCTGTCTCAGTTTTTTTGTTGCAGCTATAGTGATCAATGAAATATTTTCCACACTGTTCAGCCAAACATGTATTTCAAACAATCTGCTTCCCAACCGAGGGCGTCGCCACAGGGGGGGGGGACGGAGGGGATCTCGTCCCCTCCACTTTTTAAAATTTTAACATTACGCCTATGGCGTTGCATGGAAAGAATCGACTTGAAATGGTCCTCGTCCCCTCCAAAATGGTCAATGTCCCCTCCAGTCGTCGCACCGTGGCGTCGCTCCTGTTCCCAACTACACAAATGTAGTCAAACAATGTGCCAATATGGAATTTTCAGGTTCAGTTGAATGAAATAGGAACAATGATAATTGTAGATTACGTATACCTGCAAGAGAGGAAAACAGAATTCATTGTATTGCTTGTCCTTCACCGATACTGTTATTTTTCCATTTCTAGAAACACCGACATTCGCCGATGCAGGTGGTACTGCCTGGTGAGGCCGCGGTCTCCGGAATCGCCTGCAGACGAAGTCACCTGGCGTCCATCTGCACATCACTTGCAGCAGTGAGGCCTGCTGACAGCGTCTGGCAGTGTCGGCAACGTGCCAGACAGCTATCTGGAGTCCTGCTCACCGCAGGTCGCCGACAGGAGGGGCGACGCATCGTCTCCGAGGTCGCCTCAGCAGCAGTGAGACCCCACTGGCCGTCTTCTTAGGCTTCAACTAGATTGCGAACAACCTATGCTGAGACAACGCCCATGACGTGTGATCCGGTACCGCTACCGCACTGCGTGCCTGTGCCCGCCGTGAGCCGCTAGTGCATGGGTTCGACCATGGGAATATGTGTTTATGTTGCTTTTACTATTGTTTATACGTTGAAGTGACGAATTGTTTATTTTTCGCAAGCCTCCGCTGTCCGGTTGCCTGCAGCTCCATGCAACGCCAGCTGTACTGTTGTTTTAATGTTGTCTCTCCGCTCAGCTGTACTGTTGCCTCTCCGCTCATAACAACCTATGCTGAGACAACGCCCATGACGTGTGATCCGGCACCGCTACCGCACTGCGTGCCTGTGCCCGCCGTGAGCCGCTAGTGCATGGGTTCGACCATGAGAATATGTGTTTATGTTGCTTTTTATACTATTGTTTATACGTTGAAGTGACGAATTGTTTATTTTTCGCAAGCCTCCGCTGTCCGGTTGCCTGCAGCTCCATGCAACGCCAGCTGTGCTGTTGTTTTAATGTTGTCCCTCCGCTCAGCTGTACTGTTGCCTCTCCGCTCATAACAACCTATGCTGAGACAACGCCCATGACGTGTGATCCGGCACCGCTACCGCACTGCGTGCCTGTGCCCGCCGTGAGCCGCTAGTGCATGGGTTCGACCATGAGAATATGTGTTTATGTTGCTTTTTATACTATTGTTTATACGTTGAAGTGACGAATTGTTTATTTTTCGCAAGCCTCCGCTGTCCGGTTGCCTGCAGCTCCATGCAACGCCAGCTGTACTGTTGGTTTAATGTTGTCTCTCCGCTCAGCTGTACTGTTGCCTCTCCGCTCATATATGACACCCTCTATATGAATGGCACTACTGATTGTCACACCCACTGTCCGTATTGTCCGTAGTGGTGTCTACGCCCATGTTAATACAGCGTGCAGAATCCATATTCTATTGAGGAGAGTTGAGCCAAGTCACCATAGGCTCGGGAAGAGAGCAACCTGGAGGCCCACTGCCCCTTCCCCGGCCCCCACTGGGGGCGCCAGCCACTCCAACTTTTGACTGGATGTCAAGAGCGTCGCCACGGGGGGAACGAGTCGCCGGCCAGCCAAGGTAGCCAACGGCGTGTGAAGGTTGCCTGACCTCGAGGAAACTGAGATGGCACCAACGGAGGTTTTGTTAAGTAGGCGACCAAAATTCGAGCGGCAGCAACCTGGGCACCTTCACAGATAGCAGTGCCGCGTATCGGGGCGCCTTCGACGTTGAGCTGGGCGTCGATCATCAGGACGCCGGGGGAATATGACCCAATATCCCCCCGTAAATATGTGCCTCGGAAGGGAGACCCAACCATAAAACTGAAAGCTCGTCGTATTTTATCCACTATTTTTCGAGCAGGTCCATAGATTTCCGTCCTCAAAAATGCGGGAATATTCCCCAGTGTTTGAGTTGGATGGGACTATAGTGGCGTTTACACCGACAGGAGATTCCCATTGCCGGCTGTGGGAAACTACTGTCGGTGTAAACGCCATTCATATTTCCTGCGTCACCCCTGTGGGGACGCCCTTACTCCATGGTGCCGAGCTTATCAATTTGGATATCAATGGAATCAAAATCTCTTATCGATCGATGAAGAACTAAATTACCCCGACCCGGAGAGCGTCTTTGGAATCAAAGCAGTAGCACATGACGCAAGACTTCAGGCAAATAAATCCTTCTTGTCTGAAATAAAACATTTGTGCATTGATAAGCACGTTTTATAAGCAATGGTAGCAAGATTCTCCATGTATTTGGTTAAAGTGATAATTTAGTAGCAGATACTTACCGTCGCATTTCGTTTTTTTTAATTAATAATTTATATTGTCAGAACTAGCAACATGTCTCTTCACTCAACAATAATTACAAAAGTGAAAAAGAAATGATAAATTGCTTATATTTTGGTGAAACTAAAAATTAATTCAGCACATATTTTTTTTACAGCGTTGAAGTCCAGCTCCAAAGGACAGCTGACGATCGTAGCCGAGCAGGCTGTTTGGTACTTCTTCACTACTTCTTAGAAGTACCCGTTAGCACCGATCATGTCTCACATAATAAGCTATTGGAACAAAAATATCCATGTTCTTCTAATTATTTTCCTTTCACACTTTAAATAAATACTTTTGAAATGCATTTACTAATTAATTTCACAAAAACGGCTTCAAATTTTACAGCGTCAAAATACTTATTCCAATTTCCACCATGTAACCACCACTATATTACTTGCTTACAGACCCGTGCGCACAGTGCGCGCAGTTTTATCGTGACGTCAGAGGGTGCTTCCTCAGTGGCGCCCCCTGGCGGGGAACGCGTGCAAAAAGTCCAGCTCTTAGGCATGTCCGGCTTCAACTGTTGCCGACCTGAGGAGCTATAGGGACTTGAGCTTTCCAAAACTCAATTTCTAAGGGCACTGAGCAGTGTTTGGCTTTCACACGAATGCGATAGTAAGTTATATGAAGTTGACAAAGCAAGCAAAGCAAAGCATGATGCCCCGCGCGTCCGCCCGCGACCACGCCCCGCGTCCGACTCCCGACCGCCGCGTGACCCGAGGCGCCCGGCGGTCACGTGACCTACCGGCCGGGACTGCAAACGGCCTTCACCACCATTCTTGTATGACGTCATATCCTACTGAGGTGCTGATTGGTCGGAATTAGATACCTGAAGGTAATTATCTGCCGTAGTTATTTTTGTTTCATTGTTTTGCGTGTTTTCTTATATGAAATGTAATTAAAAAATTTGTCATATTTTAATCACCATTAAAACATAACTGAATAGGTATAAAGGAGAACTCGATATATACTTTCCTTGTTTTTAAGAATTCCGGAATTAGATACCCGAGGGAGCAAAGAGGGAGCAAGTTGCCACGCTGATTTAATACCTCATAGTCGAAAGGTGGGCTACTAGAACCAAAAATTGCTGTGTTTGTAAATAAATAAGTGATTTGAGGGCAAAAAATGCCCGGATTTAAACTTCTAAAATTATTTTGAACATAAAATATTTCAGTTTGAGGGATGTTAAGGCCTCTAAGGGTAGGTACTTTTTAGGTATCAAATAAGTTCCTCTGCGAAAGTTCCGTCGTGAAAACGGCCATTGCATATGTTTCACTATCGCATTAGTCAACTTTTTTACAACTTTATCAACTTTTTTGCTTGCAGTTGTTATAATTCACACTTTTAAGTTCCTTTTCTCCTTCTCTTTCACGACTTATCACTTGTTTTTTTATCGTATTACAGAGCTTTATCTTGGTCCGGTGTTTGACATCGAAGACTTGTCTAATCCTTTCCAACAATTGGGAAGAAGGGGCTGTCTCCCGGACAACTTCAGCGTTGGTAATGGCACTGTGGAAGCCATTCAAGCGTGCTCGAGAGCAGTTGAACCCATCGAGATCCAGTGCGGGGGAAGACCACGGATGGGCTACTACTACCAGTGCATACAAAACGGGTAAGGAATCGGTTTGCAGCATGCATGTGTTTGTGTATGTGTCATTATTCAAGTGATTTGTGGTTTCTGGGCCGCGTGAATATATTCTGATTCATATCCATCATATATGCTCGTAGCTTCGTTGTTGGTATTTCTAATGACATGCTTACATGTGAAGCGGCAAACGTGTAGGTATGTATGTGAGACAGAAGGTGGATGGTTGCACGGATCTGTGCCTACATTTCCGGACAGGACAATTCAATCAGACGATAATCATAATGGTCCTAAAGGTAACCGTTGCCTCCCGAGAATGGCTTCAAAAATAACAGCGGCTGAAATAAAAAGATATACACAAACAAACCGGTGCGGGGCTGAGCCCATTCCAAAAGCTAGTACGTCGAATGACAGAACGAGCGTGAAATGGCCATCACATTACGAAAAAAAAATGTGAGGCTCTTTGGCGTTGAGCATTTGCCTCGCTCTATTTCCTTCCACAGTATACCGGTGGCCGGTCCCAACGGTTTCGACGCCGCCGCCTTCCTCGACCTGATCACAAGTTTCTCGCCGGACGAGGGGTGGCAGGCGCGCGCGGGTCACCTGGCGCTGCGGTGCATCACCTCCTCAGACCCCGGCTCGTGCAGCGGCCTCTCGCGCGGCCAGCAGACGATTGCCGTGCTCGCCTGCTGGAAGTGGATGTTGACTCTGGACTGCGACTTCTGTAGTGCGCCGGAGTCGGACTGGACTGCCGCCTGCCGACGGGGTCGGTTCCTAGCCGGCTCGTGCCGCCGCGGGCCGGCCGCCCTGCTCCGCGGGGTCACCGATCAGGGAGGTGACGGCTTCAGTCGCAGGGAGGAGTGTATGGAGACCATGAGGAATGAGAGCGGCGTGCAGGAGTTGCTGCCGCAGGTGGCCGCCGGCGCGATCACCGAGGAACGCTGTGAGCTGCTGAGCTCTGTAGCCGAGAAGTTCGTCGTGTGTCTGATGAGAGACTTCACCTCGCCCAACTGTCAGGGCGGCGGCTACGGGAAGGTCGAGCTGGAGCGGCTGAGAAGAGCGGCGGTCAGCAGCACTGGAGGCACCCAGGACGCCCTGGCGCTGCTCGAGGTCCTGGACAGGTGCGAGGACGAGCGGGATGTGCGCGGATTCATCGCCTGCTGGACCGAACTGGAGATCTACTCGTGCGCCACCGAGCAGGCCAATGTTGTGGGACTTAGGTCCTAACCGGGAGGATATCGTGCTAATACCCTTTGGGGAGAACACCCTCACATTTTTCGCTACGCAATCCTGGTTGAAAAACGGCGCACCACATCTTGGGTACCTGTTGCGAGTTTATTGACTTTGATAATGGTGAAGTTTTTAAGAAATCGGATAAGTTTTGTTTAGCAATTGATGTTTACGTTTAGTGATGTCATAATTTCCAAATTTCAGCCATCAATTGTATGTGTTTGAAAATCGTATGCAATCGCAAAATAGACGTTAAACCTCGCCCGTATTGGTGTTTTTCCAGCCGCGAACGTATAAGGGGGGGGGGAGGGTCCATTGGCCCCCCTTGCCATTTGGCCCCTGATCGAGCTAGAGCTTCGCGGAAAAAAAAAAACGAACGTGTTGCCCGTGACGAGAAGAAGCCTGTGATACCCAATTTTAACCCGGCACCGCCTGGGCTATTTCCGTACCCACGACAGCTTGGGGGGTCGGATCCGACCCCCCCCCCCTGTTATCTCGAGAACCAATGGTTGTATCGAGCCCCGCGAGGCGGCGTTCGAAAGGTCTCTACGAGGCCTTCCCAAAGCACTCTTAAGATTTTAAGATTGAGGTCAACTTTCGGGTCAAGATCAGGTCAAAGGTCAAATTCAGGGGTTTTGCATGATTAGGCTTACGGACAGCGGAATCGATACCTGCTGCTCGAAACTCACCAAAAATGACCTCAAAGGCCTAGTGAAGGGACCATGTGCGTATAGGGGTCATACTAAGTACGGGTCAAGGTCAGGTCAGGTCACGAAAGGTCACGGTTTTCACTTTCTGCTACATGGGCGTGCGACACATGTTTTATGGCTTATTTTTCACGCCGAATCCGTTGGTAATGGTTATATGTGACCCCAAGTCACTGTGCTGGTGATAAGTGTGCATTGAAAGCCTAAAAAATCGTTTATACCATACATAACTAAACGAGGGCTAAGAAAAAAAGTCAATTTTTCAACTTTTTATTTTTGACATAAAAATGCATTTTTCTAGACGAGCTTTGTCCCAGGAATCTAGTGGTGCCATTCATTTGTTTTCACATGCGATGTTCAGAAGTGCCTCTATTTCACGAAAATGCTTATGACGTCACCATGCCCCATGCATGTTGGAGCTATTTTTTACAATTTGGGGGTCAGAAATCAAGATAGAAAGTTGAAATTCGGGGCATCTAAGGTTCTAATAGAGCTCTACAACATATGTTCCGTTTTTTTGGAAATTCTCAAAATTTTGGATTTTATTAGCTGTTTTCCAAAAATATAGTTTTTTGAATTTTTAGGGGTGAAAAACGCATTTTATGGAAAATCCGAGATGGCCATTTTAAAGAACTCGTTGAGCTGCGTCTTTTCATGTCCTTAATTTGCAATTTGCTTTAAACCCTGATTTTTGGCGATTTTTTTAAACATTTACCACTTTTTGACTAAAAACACCATGTAGTTACATCACTAAAATCGATATATCTAAAAAAAATTTGGATTTTTTTTTTCCTTAAAAATTGCACAGGACACGTCAAATTGATGGGGGAGAAGGTATGCCAAGTTTCAAGTAGATAGCGAAAGTGGTTCATGAGTTATTAAAGAAAACGGAGGGGGAGGGGGTCGGATCCGACCCCCCCCAGGCGGTCGCGGGTTAATTAAGGTCATTGGTTGACCTTCCCGGTCAGGTCAATGACCCCAAAGTAAGGAAAATCGGGACCTGTTAGAAAGTCGTGAAGTGTGACTGCTACGGGGGTTTTCGGGGTGCTGATCACGAATATCATGTTAGCCTTGATCACAGATGACGTCTTCATGCATTTAGGCCAGGTCGGGTCAGGTCAGGTCAGATCAACCAGTAGGGGTCCTGCCGGGTATTCGTAGTAGGTGTCAACCGCCTCTGACAGCTTCGTAACATGTTACGAAGACGCCAAATCTACTTCGTAAATGTTCAAATGGTTGCCAAATTCGAATTCAGCTCCAAAAACTAGCCTAGAAACATGTACCTAAAACTCGAAAAAGTGAACCGAGGTCATCAAAGATCAATGACCTGACCTGACCTTCAGGTGACCTTGGCACCCACCCTAATGCATGGGACCATCATCATAACACATGTTTTAACGCTTGAAACCACGAAAAGACTGCAAACGCGCGGGTAATGCGAGCTGACATACGCCGAATCGCGATTCCGGCCAAACATGGCCTCAAGACATAGGTCACAGGTCAAAGGTCATTTGGGTCAGGGTCATGAAATTTTCAGAGTAGGTGTAAAATTGATTGATTCGAGGGTACTGAAAGTTTCGTGCAATCGGCCGTTTTTACGCGAGTTATTCGCGAAAAACCGAGGGGTTCGTTCGATCCCCCCCCCCCCCAATACGGGCCAGGGTTAAACATGCCATTAACGGAATTTCGCTGTCAACACCCATTACGTTTTTTGTGTAGAAAATAGGCTTCAGCCCGCATAGCGCTCCGAGTCAACGTGCAAAAACTGTATAACAACAAACAATAAAACATATTTATTAAACATAATTTGTAAATCAGCGTATAGTCCAGGTGGTGGGGCAAAAGCTGATGCTTAACTCGAGGCACCACCACCGGTGACATAAGCAATTGTACGTCATAATCCATAGTTTTGTGGCACCTATTGACATATAAATACTCGGAAACCTGATTTCAAATGATGTGCATGGCGGGATCCATTCAGATCATAGATCCATGTTCTTGGTTTATCAGGCACGTAGCTAGGATTTGGCCAAGGGAGGGGCGGAGGAATTCCGGGGGCCTCCTTTCTACAGAGGGCCTCCTCCCTAAAGGGGCCTCCTTTCTACAGAGGGTCTCATGCCTACATAATTACATATACAATATAATGCAGACTTTTGCTCAGCTTTCATATGGCCAGCGCACCGGTATGTTTCTTTATTCTAACCGCTGCAGCGGTAAGAAACATACGCATATCACAAGTCTCCGAGTGGCATGGTACCTGGCAAAAAAAAAAAAAAAAACTGGCGCCGCCGGCGGCGGCGGCGGCGGCCGGACCGCAGCAGGAGGGGGAGGATCTGCGAGGAATGGGTGGATACTGGATGACGGCCAGATTAACACTTGGTGTATTATCATACATCGTTCAAGCGCTTAACCGTATTCCGGGCGGCGCCTGAAAGACGGGCTCTGAAAGACTCTGAATCGGGCGGGGGCCTTTTTGGCCCTCGTCAGAACTCGAAAAGCACGAATCGTAGCGACAAACGGCAACGGCGTTTGATAGTTCGTTGAACGACTTACAACTTTTGTAAACAACTTTTTTGGGTCAGGTCAATATTGAGGTCGCCAGAGGTCATAACAAATAATATGGTTTATAACGACCTACATAGATAGGTCAACTTCAAAATCTGACCTAGGAAGGTCAAGCTGGGTACTAATCGGCGCGTCATGACCAGGCGAACGGTTTGGTACACTAACAACTATTTACCCCCATCATGTCGTGATTTATTGGCTAAAAACTGTTGATGACCTCACCTCACCTCAGATGATCCAATTCCCGGTGCCCCTGTCAGTAAATGCCACCTGGGTGCTTACAGATCAGCTAATCTGACGTAATTCAGAAAGAATTGGGTGATTTTGACTCGTTTACTCGAAGCAGGACACAGTTCATTATATTTTCCAATAGGCTTGTCACGATTCTGACCTGACTGACGTCTGCAAGATTGAAACTATACGGTTATCAATTATTTCTGTGTGAATGATGCCACGTTTACTTGCTGTAAGTAAAACATGGTTTCGTTTGTAAATTTTCCTAGGTCCAGGTGGTTTGCTTCATTTACGCCGTAGATGAAACAAACAAATCGATGGATAGGTATATATTAATTTCCCGGTCAAATAAATTATTTTGAGTTGCGCGAAGCATGGCTATGGGAATATCACCACGGTCTGATAAATGGTTTGGGTAATTGCATGCATCGTAAAAATACCAACACAGCCACAGGTAACTATATATTACAGAAATGGGCTGCTGTGCTCATGCATTAACTCGCGCCCTGCCGGGGGGGGGGGGGGGTGTTAAACACCCCCTGCAGTTTACCGTGAATATCTCAAAAACGGCGGCGCGCCACACTTTATCCTACATCATTTCTACATATGTTGTGAAAATTTCAGACCCTGGTCACTTAAAGTCAGGTCACCAGGTCCAGGTCAAATGACCTCACTACATAAGTTTCAATGTCTGCCAAAGCTACACGGAGTGACCAAACGCTTTGAAACTTTCAGAGATGCAAATGCACAAGAGCGACAAAATGCAAAAATGTATGTCTTGGAATTTTGATATCGATGACATAAGGTCAGGTCAATTTTGCGACCTTAAATTGAAAGTCGCCTTTTTAGACGGAAGTCATTATACATACTCTAAAACACTGAATTACTAGTATCTTTGACACACTGAACATGAAAATGGCACCCGTGACCCCTTTTTATAACCCTGAGGTCATCTCAGGTCACCAATGGTATCTGATTTTTCGCGAATAACTTTTGATAGAGGCATGCTAGAGCGATGAATACACCTTAGTTGTGTTTGGCTCGACGATACGGATGGACTGATATGGAACTTAGCCCTTATCGGTCAGGTCATGACCTTGACCTGAGGCCAAATTTTCAAGTTGACCTTTTAAGGTCAATTGATAGTTCATTCCACACGTCTTGACGAGAGGAACACGATGCTGGTAAAGGGAAGTTCGTGCAAATTTTGAGACGAAAGTTATTGCCGAAAACTGGTTTCCGAAAATATCGGCTATTTTGGCAGTTTTTGCGGCCACTGCAGGTAAAACTGTTGACGGCAAAACCGTTGACGGCACCCGGCATTATTTCTCATGAGCGCATTTATACAAATAATTTGACTACATAGGATAGGGCCTTCTGTTTACAGAGGACCTCCTCCCCTGTCCCTTCCTACAGTGGGCGGCGACGCGGTTGGGAGTCTATTCTGTACAGTTTCCTGAATTCTCAGTTCTCACTATAGTGAGAACTGAGAACTCTCTATAGAGAGTAGCAGGGAACAGAAGCCGGAAGGTAATTTGCTTACAGTGGGCCTCCACTCTATGTACTTAATATACGACGCTGTCTTTGACTACCGGGGGCCTCCTGCCCACAGAGGGCCTCTTATCTACAGAGGGCTTCCTCTCTACATATTGCCTCTTATCTACAGAGGGCCTCCTCTCTGCTGAGGGTGTCTTTCTCTCCAGAGGGCCTCCTTTACAGAGGGCATCCTCTCTACAGAGGGCCTCCTCTCTAGCCTCT